GGGCAGCAACCTTTTCTATTAAAGGCCAGACAGTAAATATTTTGAGTTTCACAAGCCACATCTGTTCCCTGCCACAGATTCTTCTGTCTATTTTGTGTGTGTTTTGGTTTGTTGTTAATAACCCTTTAAAAATGAAAACCATACACACCATTGTTAGCTCACAGACCACTGTGGAAGAGACACAAACCAGATTTGACCCTCAGGTTGCCATGTGCCAGCCCCTGAATAAGACTGAACGAGAAAAGTTGTGTCTGGTCCCCCAAATTTCTACAGGTGGAGAGGAGCAGAGACATCTACTCGGCTGCAACAGCAAGCAGAGCCCATGTTCTGATGGGGAAGGAAAAATGAGCAGCATTCCCAGGAAACAGAACTGGGCCCTAACCGAGTGCCAGTCCCGCCCCGGGTGTAGGGGCCCTGGTCAGAATTCAGAAGGACTAGTATTACAATTCAGAGTCACTATGAACAGTGACTGCCATGGACCTTCCACTGCCTCCACTTTTTTGAATGGAGTGCCTATGCCTAGCTCACCTTTGACTGTGCGTGTATGGGGTGCAATAAACTTATCTTTCTAATAATGGGCAAGTCACGAGATTGCACGGTGCCACACCTGCACCTAAGGAAACTGTCCTGAGAGTCACATCTGCTTAGGCTTAAGGCAGGGTTTCGAACTTGATGCTGTATTGGATAAGCCTTAGGGAGTCCATGGGACAGTGTAAGTGCATTTTGCTTGTGGGAGGACTGTCAGTAACGTATGACCAGAGGATGAACTATGGTGGATTAATGATGGCCATGGTTTTTTGCCATTACTCCCATTAAGTGGTGAAATTCTTTTCTCCTGCCCTGGAATGGGGGTTGGCCTTGTGACTTGCTTAGACCAAAAGAACGTTACAGATATGACACTGTGTCAAATTGGAGGCCAAGCCTTGAAGAGGACTGGGAGCTCCCACTTCCTCCCTCTGAAAAGCCAGCTGCCTTGTGGTAGAGAAGCTGTGTGACTGGGAGGCCCTGTGAAGAGAGGCCAATGTGAATGTCCCTGCTGAGTCCCCAGTCGAATGCAGCCACGTGAGTGAGCTAGTCATAGACAGAATGGAGCAGGAAGCCACCCCACTGAGACACCTCAAACACAGAACCATGAGAAATAATAAGTAGCTTTAAACCTTTTAAAAGTCACTATGGCCAAAACCGGTTTGGCTCAGTGGACAGAGCGTCGGCCTGTGGACTGAAAGGTCCCGGGTTCGATTCTGGTCAAGGCACCTTGGTTGCGGGCACATTCCCAGTATGGAGTGTGCAAGAGGCACCTGATCGATGATTCTCTGTCATCGATGTTTCTAACTCTCTATCCCTCTCTTCCTCTCTGTAAAAAATTAATAAAATATATTTTAAAAGTCACTACATTTTGGGGAGATTGTTGTATAGAAACAGATATTTGAGACATAAGTGGGTGTATATATATTACCAATATAAAAACATAGTTGGGAAGAATATACACCATCTTCTGGATGATGATTACTTCAAGAGAGAAATGACATGGGATGGAAAAGAAGAAATCGGATTCTACAATACTAATGTACCCTATTTTAAAAATGGGATTTGAGAAATTATGGCAAAAAGTTAACATTAGTTATAGTGAAAAGTTGTTTTAATAGTATTACCTCTATTCTTCTGTAAGTCTGAAATAAATAGTTCCTGATTTCATATCTTTTTCACGAGTCTAAAAATAATCAAGGTGATACATTTGGATTCCTCTAAGAAGGGCATTCTCACTCTAAGTTAGAAATTTGGTCTATTTCTGCCCAATATTCCCTGGTAATCACTGACATAATTTTAAAATCATTTTTACTTTTAAATGCTTTTTTCGTTCTTCTTCATTTACCATCTTAAAAATATCAAGCCCTTACCTTTTTTTTTTACCTTTATCTTTTTTTTTGAATTTTTCCTTCTCTTCTCTCAAACTAATTTCAAAGTAAGTATAAAATTAAATCTCAAAGCAATTCCAAACCCTCATTCCTTATTTTAAAACTAGAGGCCTGGTGCACAAAATTTGTGCAAGAGGTGGAGGGTGTCCCTCAGCCCATCCTGTACCCTCTCCCATCTGGAACCCCTTGAGGAATGTTCGACAGCCTGTTAGTGGGATTGGGCCTAAATGGGTGGTCAGACATCCCTCAATAATCCAGGACTGCTGGCTCCCATTGCCCTCCCCTGCTGGCCTGGACCCCCGACAGCCCTCACTTGCAGGCCTGGGTCCCTCCCAAGTGTTCTCCAGTGCAGGCCTGCTACACCGCCCCAATGCTCTCCACTGCAGGCCCAGCCCCTCCCAACTGCTCTCTCCTGAAGGCCTGAGTTCCTACCCCAACTGCCTTCCCTTGCTGGCCTGGTCTCCCCCAACTGCCCTACTCTGCTGGCCTAGTCACCCTTAACTGCCAACAACTGCACTCCCCTGCAGGCTATCTTATAGTGGTCATCATGTGGCAGCCATATTGTATCCACATGAGGGCAGCCATCTTTGACCATATGAGGGCAGCCATCTTGTCTTGGTGTGAGGGTCAATTTGCATATTACTCTTTTCTTAGATAGGATGTTACCTCTGGAATAAAGACAGGTTGAAGAAATGACACAATATATGTGGTCTTTGTTAGACTGGGATAATTTTGGGACTCTGTTCATTATGTAAGCTAGGCAGTATTTCTCAGTGTTTGAGCATCAACCTATGAACCAGGAAGTTACCATTTCATTGCAGGTAAGGGCATTGTGGGCTGTCCCCAGTGTGAGGCATACAGGAGGCAGCAATTGATGATTCTCATCACTGATGTTTCTCTCTCTCCCTCCCTTATGCTCTGAAATCAATAAAAAGAAAATTAATTTAAAAATATATATAATGAGTTGTTATTTTTGGCTAGAAATAAAAGGAAAAGGAAAAAGAGTAAAATCAAGGGTGGTTATGACAGAGAAGAAAACATGTATAAAACTGTAGTACAGTCCAATTCCAATATCATTCACTCGGACTTAAGATTAAGCATACATAACACTAAATGTTCTATTTATATAATTTTAATTTCTCAAATAAGTTACCTCCTGTATTTTACATTAAATAATATATTAATATTAAAGAGTGAAGTTTTGAGTTGTAGTTTTCTTATTAACTAGTCTTAATTATCCATGATTATATTTACCTCAAAATAGTTTCAGAACAAGCAAGTAATGGTAGAGTTCAGTTGAAATATTATAGTTGCGCTGTTTACCATTTAGGATATACTTCAACATGGTCATTTATTTGAGGTCGAGCTGAATTTAAATTGAAGTGCTCCTAAACTATTTTAATGACATAAAAGTCACACTAATATAGAAACAAATAAGAACTCAATTTTATTTTAAATAAAAAACAAAACTCATAGAATCATCTGTATCTTAAACCCATTGCCCAGTCAATTACCAGCATATTCAAGTTCTACTTCCTCTACTGCCTTTCAGGTGATTTTAACTGTAGATGCCACTCTAAATAAAACATTTTAAAAATCTTCATTTCTGTCTGTGCACTAACCAGGAAAAACAAAATAGATGTTCACAGTTCTAGAATCTATAGAATCTGCCAATAGATCACCTGTGATATAAAAACCTTGATTTCAAATATGAAAAATGTAAAGTCGAAAGATGTTAAATGACTTTCCCATGAACCTTAATTGAGGGCAGATCTCGATCCCCTATATTTTGTTATCCCTGCTTCATTTTATTAACCTATTAACCAAGAACTATTTTCCTTTATGATGCAGTGTTTGGGGAAAAAAATCAAGTTTTGTTTCCCAAGAAATGGAAATGGTCAGTACATTACAAAGTTTCAATCTCAGAAACACATCACTGAAAAAAAAAAAATAGCATACCTCAAGTGCTTGGCACTTTCCTCGAATTCTTTTGCAAAGATGTTGATAATTCTCCAGCTCAACCTTCAGCCTAGAAGTCAATTCCTGGCCAATATAGGGCTCCTTTTTAGCTATTAACTTGATGTTGTTCTTCAGTATATTTACTCGGACTTCCTTTTGCAGCACATCCTCTTTTGCTCTCTGTTCCAGGGAAGGATAGAAATGAAAATTGCCCCCCTTTCTCACTAACCAATGTCTTTCTTTTTCCTAAAATAGCTAAACCAAAATTAAAGCCTCTATGTGATTTCAACTACCTAATTTAGAACACTATTTAGGTAAGCACTAGAGAGACTTATTTTGAAAAAATAATACGATAAAGTTAAATTAAATTAAATTAAATTAAATACTAGCTATAAATCCTCACTCATTATATGCCCCAATGAAAACAGTCCCACATAAACATTTTCATTTAATAACAGGCAGACAAGTTTAACACCTAAGTCATCCTTAACTTATGTTTACTGATATTAAATATTTTCAAAGTCTGGGCCCATGAAAAAAATATCAGTATCTTAATGTAGTAGGCTACCTTTAAAATACCTTATATACTGAATAATTTTTAAAAAAAAAAAAAAATCTACCCTAGCCCAGCTGGCATGGCACAGTGGATTCAGTGCTGACCAATGAACCAGGAGATCCAGGTTCAATTCTCAGTCAAGTCACATGCCTGTGTTGTGCGCTCAATCCTCAGTGTGAGGCCTGCATGAGGTAGCCCACAAATGGTTCTCTTTCATCACTGATGTTTCTTTCTCTCTTTCTCTCTCCTGTCCTCTCTGAAATCAATATATATATATATATATATATATATATATATATATATATATATATATATTTAAAGCTATACTAAAACTTATTCTTCTGTGAAAATATAAGTATAATAAAAGTCCTTTGTCATATATAGTAATGCATGGATTACATCTAATCCATTCTAAAATATATTTTTATTGATTTGAGAGAGGGGGAGAGGGAGAGAAATATCAATAATGACAGAAAATTGCCGAAACCGGCTTGGCTCAGTGGATAGAATGTCAGCCTTTGGACTGAAAGGTTCCAGGTTTGATTCCAGTCAAGGGCATGTACCTTGGTTGCTGGCACATCCCCAGTGGGGGGCGTGCAGGAGGCAGCTGATTGATGTTTCTCTCTCATCGATGTTTCTAATTCTCTATCCCTCTCTCTTCCTCTCTGTAGAAAATCAATAAAATATATTTAAAAAATAAATAAATATTGAGAGAGAATTATTGATTCACTGCCTCCTGCAAGTCCTCTACGGGGGATCAAGCCTGCAATCCGTGTATGTGCTCTGACCTGGAACTGAACTGTGACCTCCTGGTTCACAGGTTGACACTCAGCCACTGAGTCACACAAGCTGGGCAAAATCTAATACTTTTTAAAGAACATCTGCAGAGAGATTTTTGCTTTTAGGCAAGTTAACTTTGGAATAAAACATTCAATGTGTTGCTTAATCTTATTTTTTAAAAATAGCCTTTAATCACTATCTCTTTTAGTTTGGACCCTGAAGAAGACTTGAAGTAAGGTTAGAAAATTGGGAATGATGGCCAGTTCTTTTATCATATTAAAAAAAAAAAAAGAGGGTTCAAGACTACTGCCATAGGAATATAAGTGCACCGGAAGTATATCCTGTGGCCCCAAGTGATATTAAATCCCTTGACAATGGATTAGTGCAACTCCACCTGTTCTAACAAACCACTTATATACATGCGGCACATGCCCCATGTAGTAACTGGCAGAACACATCTGATGAAATAAGAATAAACCCCAAGCAAACTGGAAAGCCTTTCTTGGTCCGAATGGAAAAAAAAAAAATTATCCCTGAAAATTTTTGGAAATAGTTGTGATGATTGCACAATATTGTGAATGTGATTGATGTCACTGAATTTTTTTAATTCAGTCTTTGTGGTTCCACTAGTTCTAAAATAAAAAAAAGTCACAGGGCCCCACATGGATTCAACTCATGAGCCATGTTGAACTTCCTTCCTTACTAGAATCACATCAGTTCCCCTTCCTTTTTTTTTTTTTTAATTTGAAATCCTCCTATGAAGGATTATGTACCATTGACCTTTGAACAACACAATGGATCAAAATTCATAAATAGCTTTGGATTCCCCCAAAATAACTACTAAGCCTACTGTTGACCAATAACTTAAACAGCCTTACGAATAACATAAACAGTCAACTAACACATATTTCGTATGTTATATGTAAGCTAGAGGGGGGGAAAGTTACAAAGAAAACCACAAGAAAGAGAAAATACATTTACAGTATTTATTTTTTAAAATCTGTGTATGAATGGACCCCTACAGTTCAAACCTGTGTTGTTCAAGAGTCAATTGCACAATCATGATTTACAGACAGATGGATGGTCTTTTGTATGATTAATTGACTTTAAAGGGAGAGATATATCTTGCTGATACTGACTATCCCACCCTCACCTGCATCTCCTCTACATCTTTCAAAAGTTCTTCTGGTGACTTGTATTCAAAACTCTTATCTAGGTATTCATCTTCCACCTCCATCATCCATTCTTGCATTTCCTTTAAGTCTTTTTTCAGGTTCTTCACTTTTTCTTGACGTTCAGCCAATTTATCTTTGTGACTAGAAATCTAGAAAAGAAAAGCCACTTAGCCAAATAAATAAGTGTTAATACAGTAAAAGACAGGTTTCTAATAGCTAATTGTACAATGGTAACTTCCCACAAAGATTTTCAGGGTTAAAATTCAGATAAAAGCTTTTATACACTTTGTGCTGATGCTGTGAAAATATAAGCAATAATGAAAACAATAATGATAACTGTGATTCTAGTTCACATTTTGGATGTTAATCTAATCTGGACATATCTGTAATAATCAAAGCACAATATGCTAATGAGACCAGACATCCTTCTGGACAAAGCCAGGTTGTGAGAGAAACAACCTGCTTGCCATGGCTGGAGGGAAGCCTGGGTCCTGGGTGTCAGAGAGAAGCTGATGGTAGCAGCCAGGGGAAACAAGACAAATTTTGTGCATCAGGCCTCTAGTCTATTATAATTTTTAAAATGCTTAACTTCCCAAATTAAGGAATCTAACCTCAAAGCACATGTTATAATCAATAAAAGAACATGTCATAAGAAATTTTACTGTAGCATTGTTTATTGTAGAAAAAAATTAAATAAATATATATATATATATATATATATATATATATACATATATACAGTAAAGCAACAATCAGACTGTCAAATTACAGCAGGTTGTGTAGGGAGATCTGGGGGAGATAATAGATGAACCAAAGGACTTGTATACATGCATATAAATACAACCACTGAAAATAAAACCCTAGGAAGGGAGGATATGTATGGGAGGGAGGGGGGCAAAAAAATCAATAAAATATATTTTAAGAAAATGCAACCAAAATACCCACTTTCTCCTTTTTAACAGGATTCGCTGTAACAATTTTAATTTTAAAAGCATAGAAGAGGAAGCTGTTACTAACGATGTTCATAAAATACTGTTCTACACACTTTATATTTTGATAATTTACTATACTTTCATATTCCACAGAGACACAAAAATGTTATGAGAAAATAGGTGTTTTTCTCAACTTGGTTCAATAACTTAAAAATTTCAGAGAAACCTTAAATATTTCCCAAGAGCTCCTCCCTCTAACTGCAAACTCATTCTTACTAGGGGAGAGATGCCGGCCACAGAGACCATGCTCACTCAAGTTCAACCAAACGGCAGCATCACCTGCCAGGGTTGCTTGGCTGTGCAGGTGATTGTCACCAACAGCCAGGACAGGAATAGATGGCTCTCAGGAGAGTAAAGGGCACAGCTTAGCGGCTTTCCTGTCCCCACTCTCCATCAGGATCACAGTCATAAACATAGAAAGGGGTCAAACAGGAGCTTTGATCTCAGGCCAGTGTGGTACGCTAAGATCCTGCTGCCAGCAATACACACAGCCCTGGCCCAAGCCTGGCTGATCAGCAGTTTAATCTGATCAGCTTCACATACACACACACACACACACACACACACACACACACACACCACATTTCTTGGGCCCTGCTTCCAGAACATTCTCTTTGCTAGTTTCTGGACACTAGTTAGTTATATAATTTTCATGGATCCATAGAGAAATAGAAAAATAAAAATAAATAAAGACACTAGCAAACTTTTCAGAAAGAGCAAAGCTCAAAATTGTAATTAACTCCCTGAAATGATCAATTTTCTATTTTCTGGCATTATAGTGTTCTTTTTTTTATGAGATCCTGGCTAGGTAGAATAGATGACATAGACTGGTTTTTGCTTGTTGGTTGATTTCATATGCCTGTCCATTCTTAGCAAAATAAAAGTTTGGCAGCATTTATGCTTATCTCAAAGTTCTTCAACCTTTTTAGGACTCAGTGAAATGCAATAGTCTGGAGAAATGCCTGCTGCTTAGGATGCTTAAAAATGTCCCATACATTCAGTTTCATGTTTTAAACTTGTAATAATTCACAACTAATTCTATACTGTCATATGTGTGGTATAATAGGTGGATAGGGAGATAGAGACAGACATAGAACTGAAGGTCTATGTCTGTATGTATGTACGTATCCATCAACTTCCTGGCTCCTCACTGCCACTTACAAACCATTTTCCCTATTTCCTTCCTCGAAAAACCCATTCAAGCATATAGTATCAGATTATACATATTAAGAGAAATCTAAATTTGGCTAAATTACTAGATAACTAATGACCTGTCGAATAAAATCTCAGGAAACTGAGGACCCCTCCAGAGCCGTGGGATGGCCTCAAGTCCCAAAGTCCCACCCTGAAGGGCCAGCATGAGGAGGATGGCCCTGAGGCCTGGAGTGCCGCCAGGCCCTGCCCCCCACTGTGCGAACAGCCATCTTGTGACTGCGTGAGAATGTGAGGACCACCTAGCCTTTTATTAGTAAGACTAGTGTCCTGGTGCACAAATTCGTGCACATTGAAAGGGAATTAGAAGCAATATTTTAGTATCACTATTTGCCAAGTCCTCGGTTGAGGTATCTGGCTCCCTCTCCATCCTGTCAGAGTCTGTGAGGGCACCCATGGGGTTGCAGTGTCAAAGCTGGTGCCCCATGGGGCTTCAGAACACTCCTGAGTTCCGCTGGAGTCCCATAGCCCCGCAGGGCCAACGCCCAGTGGTTATGGGGCTGGTGAGGAGGATGAGAGTGGTGGCCTGGCTCTATGAAAACCAAACCGCCCTGGGTTCCCTCTGAGCCCAATCGGTTCCCAGTGGGGCTGCAGGACTTCCCCGAGTCCAGCGGACATGGGGCTGCTGAGGGGGTGAGGGGGGTGGCCTGGCTCCAGGGAAACCGCCCTGGGCTCCCCTGGTCACCTCTAACCCTAAGCTGGTGCCCGGGTCAGGGGCTGGTGAGGGGGTGAGAGTGAGGGCCTGGCTGTGAGGACACCAGGCCGCCCTGGGCCGCCCCGGGTTACCTCTCTGGTGTTGGATCTAGAAAAGGGCCAAAGGCGCTGGGACCGCTTGCGGAGGCAGCGGCAGCAGCGGCGGAAAGCGCTGCCAAGGCCGCCCTCTCGCAGGTCGCAGCAGGGGGACTGCCGAAAACAACACAACATGTCTTCGCGATAGGGACACCTCCATCCACGACTGCTCCAGCAGGAGCGGGTTGGGGTTTGTGGTGGGGACAGGTTGCCCGGCTACCAGGGTTCCACGCCCCGTGTCTGTCATCGGGGCGCGAGGTCACTGCTCCATTGTGGGGTGCAGCTCAGGGTGGGGCACCAGGCAGTGCCCCGGGGGGTTTGTGACATGCCCCTACCCCAGGTCAAGGCTGGGGGGTGGACCTGGCGTGTGGGTGGCTCCCTGCCCCAGGTGTATCCAGAAAGGGGAGCTGAATCTCATTTCCCCCGGGGGGAGGTGGAGGTGGTGATGGAAGTGGAGGTGGAGATGGAGTAGGGGGTGCCCTTTGCCCTCATGTTTAGCCCTGGGGACGCAGCCCCATGGGGTGACTCCCAGATGTGCCTCCAGTCCACCCCACTCTGGCGCCCTCGCGCTTGGCGTCCAGCCCGTCACCGCTCACCTGCGCGCCCATGGTGCACGCGACCATCCCTGACAGGCAGAGGGCCACCCAGGCTTTTAGTAGGAAGATACTATTACCTGCCTTTTAAGTGTGGTCCTGGTGTGGCGGTTTTGTGTAATAGCGTCCTCACTGAGGGGTGAAGTGTGAGGATATATTCAAATCCTTGTCCAAAGTACATTTGTAACCAAAAACAAAGGAAATATACATGTATGTATGTATGCATGTGTGCATTTAGAGAGATCAGGGGAGAAAATGAGAAAGCAAGCATGGGTAAAACACTAAACATGGGCAAATTCAGACATGGCGATGAGGCTGCTCCCTGTACCATTATTTCAACTTTCCTTTCAGTTTAAACATATGCAAAATAAGCAATTTGGGAAAAACGGGGGTGGGGGAAACATTAAAAAAATGCTCAAATATGCAATATAAAATTTTTATATAAACACTAACCCAAAAACAAAACAAAACACTGTATTAAGTGATATACTACCCACAGGACTGTCTGTGAAATATTCCTGTATTTCACATTTTCTCCCCTTTCCTCACTCCACTGCTGTTTCACTAGCAAAAGAGAAGCAATCAATATAGTCCCTTTCCCTTCCATTACTGGGGAGAAGCATTGCATCAGCAATTCTTTCGCTTAGAGAGTAAATTTTGTTCCTTCTCACACATAATCATAGACTTCACTCCAGACATGATGTTCCCTCAATCTCTTCTGCATCATTATTTCTCCTCCTAGGTGAGGTCCTCCTTTCCAGCATGCAAATATCCTGTAGTATCTCTTACTTTTACAAATTACATAAGCATCCCTTTGGATGCCCATGCCCCTCGCCCACCCCGTTTCTTTGGGTCTTTAAAAGCCTCCATTTGACAATTCTAGAGCTTGTTTTTCAGTTCCCATCGGCCTTAGCAATCCCAAGCACCAGGCTCTGTGGGAAGCTCTCTCCTCCTGCCTCCAGGACCTCACACTCTCCTGGCATTTCTCCTCTGGCTGACCTTCCCTTCTCAGCATCCTTCGCCTCTGCCCCTTCCTCTTTCCACACGTAAGTGCCAAGGAACTCCACCTGCATGTCTAATATGGATCTGGACTTGAACCCTTCCAGATGGAAATCATCATGACACGTGCTCCAACAAAAGCTTCTCCTCCTTGAGTCTTCACCATTTCAGTAAATGGCGCCACCATTCACACAAAGTGAACATTTTTGCAAAATCCCTAGCCTGTCCTTGACTGTTCACTTTTTCATATATCACACTTCCAGGCCATTACCAGACTCTCATCTCTACTTACAAACCTCAGTCCACACCCAACATTTCTCATGGCCTCCACCACCATCTCCCCAATCCAGGAGCCACGCTCTCTTAAGGCTGCAATGGCATCTTGCCTGTCCAGATGAATCCAGAGTGATCTGTCACATGTCACTTCCCTGTTCAAAACTCTATAAGTTCCCTTCTGTGTGGCATGATCCTTGAAACAGAATCCCCCGCCTTTGTCTCCAAGGCCATAAACAGCCCCTCCCAACACCCTTCTCCACCACACTACTCACTCAATCTCCCCTTTCACTCAATCCCAGCTGCAGTGCCTTTCTTGCTCTTTGCTAAGCACGGCAAGCTCATTCCCCCTGAGGAGCAAAACTGGACAATCTGTATGTTCTCTGGTTTTCAGACTGTATGAGCCACAACAGTCACTGTTGTCAATGGCATCTGCTTCTTGAAAAACACAGACAGGAAAGCTGAAAAACTTATCTCCTTGCTATATTTCTCCAGTTGGGTTTGGTAGTCAACTAGTTTGGTCTGCACCCTGGTATTGATTCCAGCAACTGGACAACTTGGAAGGTGTGTCTCTACTTCCTTCATGTTTTTCAGCGATGATTCAACTGTATCTATTTTCTTAACAAAAGCCTGAACATATAAATTAAGTCATTATTGAGTTCATTTCCATAGAAGTGTATGCCATAATTATAGTTTGCTTTTATCCCTGCAAATAGTGTAAGAACAGAATGTTTGGGACTCAAAAGTTTAACTGCTTCAGAAATATTGTGCCTAAAAGAAGTTCATTTCACCTGGGCGCTTCATATAGACACCTGCCAAATTAGATTGGAAATATTTGACTCTCAGCAGAATATAGCACTTTAAAAAAATATTTTATTGATTTTTTACAGAGAGGAAGGGAGAGAGACAGAGAGTCAGAAACATCGATGAGAGAGAAACATCAATCAGCTGCCTCTTGCACACCCCCCATGGGGATGTGCCCACAACCAAGGTATATGCCCTTGACCAGAATCAAACTTGGGACCCTTGAGTCTGCAGGTCGAAGCTCTATTCACTGAGCCAAATCAGTTTCGACAGGATATAGCTCTGTTAATGAATTTAGAGAAGCCTAATGATTTCACCAAATATAAGCTGTATGCAGTATTACTGGGAAATTTCGACTATTAAGTATGTTTTTCTTAATGCTTCACCATGTGGCACAATAAGAGCAATATGCAATTGGTAATCATGACACTAAGATTGTCATCATGGCACAAAATGGCAGCTCTTGTTCTCTCTATCCAAATTTCTATAATCATGGCCAAAAATAAAATATAAATAATCAGTCGCTTTTTATTAACTCTAAAGCAAAGAAAGCTTTATAATGAAAGGTATTTAATCTCAGTGTGCTGGCATGTCATATTCTAACCATGTTAATAATAGCCGCAAACAATAAAGGAAAAGAACATGTTATTTATAAGGGCAGGTCCCCTAGGTCACCAGGACTCACCGAGCATTGGTCAAACTGTCTTTCTAGCCCTTCATCATTTCCTGGGACAGCCTGCTCTTCCATTAAGAAGTCTTTAGCACCCTCGATCCACTTCTCAATGACTTTCAAATCAGTCTATGGAACACAATAACAAAGGGGGATATTACTCAGTGACATCCAACCTACTGCATCTCAAAATCTATTGCTACTGGGGGAAAAAGACAATTGTTCCAAACGTTGATAACATCAGTTTCATTAACACTTCTTTTTTTAATATTCCAATTTTAAAAATAATGGTTTTTCTTCATGAATAACTTGATCCCCCATGATTTGACAGTTTTCTAACCAGTCTAAAAATTTCAAAACATTCCCCAATGAACCAAGCTATTTTGCCTCAATGTCAGCAGTATCTAGGATTAAAACTTCAAATTATGGGGAGGGGGAATGCTTTTCTAGGGTTAAACAGTGAAATATCTTTTGTTCTTACACAATTTAGAACAAATTTTATTCTATGGTTAGCTACTCAAAGCAGAAATAAATAAAGAGCATAGTGGAGGGAATGAAACAGGCTATTCTTAGTTCTGCTGGACGCTATTATCTGAGAGCCCAGGACTGTCCGCTGCCTAGCTCCATGCTTTCATCCACAACGTATAAACACCCACAATAGCCCGATGCCGTGTATGGTGCCGGGAGGTCTAAAACAGATAAGAAAGGAAATGTTTTGCAGAGGAAAGAGACTTCAGAGACAGCAACATTGGGAGTGGCCCTTAAAGAATGCAAGTCCGTTGGTTCAACTTGATCTCTACCACTGGAGAGAAGTAATGGTCATTTCCTTCCAAGGCCTCCCTCAACACCATCCATCAGTCTGACTTCTTAATTGCCTTTGTATTGAGCTGGCTTTGTTTTCTTGCACCTTCTCTAATTCTTTGCTTCTCGCCCAAACCTTGGAATAAATATGTTTTCTATCCTGTTCAAAAAATACTTTCAGATTTGAAGGCAACCACCATTGCTCCCCTTAGTCTCCCATTGGTTAAACATCCCCAATCCCTTCCAGGGTGTCTCTAGGACATGATATCCAAGTATTGCACTCCCCACTCAGATCAACATGTTCTGGAAACTACAACTTTTCAATGTCCTTACAGTAGGTATGCCACACGGAACTGAGTATTCTTATAATGTTGGGTTGAATGACAACAAAGGGAGCTAACTGGTATGTGACCGCAGATAATTCCATTCATGAAATGCCATCTAAAATTATTTAAGTTTTATTTTTCCTACTGTAGGGTTGTTTTGTTTCTTTCCTCTTTTATTTGATTGTTTATAACTATATTGTTCACAAGAATATGGTTAACTGAAACTCCAAAATTCCTGTAACTTCCACAAAATTACATTTCCCCTATCTCATATTGCTTATAATTAGGAGTTGATGTTTACAAACAATAAACTTTGCCTCCTTAGCTCACAAAATTATTTGAATTTTTAGTTCCTCTATTTTTTAAAAGATATTTTTTATTGATTTCAGAGATGAAAGGAGATTGAGAGAGAGAGAGAAACACCAATGATGAAAGAGAATCACGCCCCACACTGATTCATAAGTTCATAAGTGAAAGCTCAACTACAGAACCACACCACCTGGGGTAGTCTATCTACCAGCATATCAGCTAATCCTCCCAGCTCTTTCTTATCTGCAAATCTGAGATTGAAGTATTCCTTTTCTGTTGACTTCTTTGAGGGTAATTGGGCTTTCTCAGATAAAAAATAAAGACAATGGCAGTGCCTATCTGATCATTCCCCTGTGAAGACACCATGTCATTCATTATTCAACAAATTTCCAGCTTATTTTTCAAAATGAGTCAACCTAATACTAGCATCCAATTAATTTTCCATCTCCCTCTCATAAGATTTTCTCAATTACTTTACTAAAATCTAAGGTTGCCAAAAAATGATGGTTTGTAGCATTATTTGAACTAAATGAGCTAACATGAAATGTGGCTCTATAACTGTCTGTGATTCAAATAATTGAATATCCATTTTCCAAAAACAATAATTTTAAAGGAAAATCAGTCCTTAAAGGAAATGAGTCTGGACAAGGCTTATTAGTGGTGTCCATGTTGATTCCTGACAACCACATAGCCTTTGCTAGCACGTATAAGACCTCTAGTTGGTCATTTATCTATTGCCAAGAACCAATATCCATCTTACTTCAGGTCTTTCACTTCTACAAAATGCTCCCCTTTAATTAGGACTTACTTCAGGTCTTTCACTTCTAAACAATGCTCCCCTTTAATTAGGACTCCATTTTTCTGGTAATTTCTCACAAAATACATGATGTGACCTTGAGACCATGGTAAAAATCCCAGGTGACTTGGGATGCAGATATAGGCTTCTGAAGGATCTGTGTGGTTTTTCCATCTAACTTAGAATTCAGGCTCTAATACACTCTTAGTAATGACTATTCCACACTTTGTAGTTTGCAGGGCCATTCTCTGATGAAGATGGAAAGCAACACATGTCAATATGCTGAGGCCTTTCTGGCTCTATTAATATTATACCACCTGCACAACCACCTCCTCCCTTTCCATCCACGGCTTTGAAAGCTTTTTTCATCCCACTGTGCACCTTCCACAGTTCCCTTTCCCTCTGTTCTGTCGCCAGCCTGCCCCTGTTCCATAGGCCCATGCTACTCTTACTCTTTGCTATTACTTGCTTTGGTGATGTAACTCTTCTTTTATTGACTCCAGCATCTGAGGATCTTACCACAGAAGACATGGTCAGGACAAGTAGCAGTGGGGTGTGCAAGAAGACAAAAGTGCAAGAAGAGAGAGTCCAGCCAGCATGACTCAGTGGTTGAGAATCAACCTATGAACCAGGAGGTCAGGGTTGGATTCCAGGTCAGGACATATGCCTGGGTTGTAGGCTCGATCCCCAGGGTGGGGTGTGTAGGAGGCAGCCGATGATATTTCCAACTCTCTCTCCCTTTCCCTTTCTCTCTGAAATACATTTTTAATAATCTAAAAAAAAAAGAGAGAAAAGTATGAAACTCTTATAAAGTGCATGAAGAATTCGACCTGCCCACGTAAGGAGCTGCCATTTCTGGCCCTGACAATCTCCATTTCGAACTTTTTAAGAGTTAGCAGCAGCTCTACTGCCATATAACTGACAACTCAATAAATCCAGTTTTTATAAGGAAACTGACAGTCTCCTGGGCCAAGGCTTTTTGACATTTGCATGGAAGCATCATGCTGCAAGGAAGTTTTAGTCACTGTCAGCCTTGACTGGAGCAAGTGGCCCCCACGATACCCAATTTGGCATAAGAGAAGTTTTATGGCATCAACCCTTACCCTTCCTCCCTCTCTCTCACACACAGACTATGTGAAGACACCCAATTCACACACGCCTGTCCTTGGTTACCCTTCACTATGAAGGAAAAGAAATAGGGGAGAAACAGACACCAGCCATGCAGACCAACTGATCACAGGCATCTGAAAAGCTGTTTTCACAACCAAGAGCCCCACAAGTACCCCTCCATGCTGAGTCCTAGGAAAAAGCGTGCCCCCAGGAAGAGGAAGGCTAAGGTCTGAACACCAACTTTCTAATTTCTCTTCTTTGAGCCTCAGAAGCCTCTGGGGAAAATAACAAATACCTTGCCTGAAAATTTCCTGGAAAACATAATGTTTGCACTGGTACAGAGCTGGGATGCAGTAAACAGCACCTATTATTACTAAGATCTACAAAACTAAGTGCTTTAGGACCAAGATTAGCCCCATAAGAGTTACCACGTCCAAACTCTGGTGTTGATTCCCAGTGGACACTCCACAGGAATAAGCAAGGGTGAGTACATGTTTCCTTAAGGGTGTTCTGCCATATAACTTTTGAAAAGTAACTGTTCAAAAATAACAGTTTGAAGAACAGAATCCAGTTCTGCAGAAGGAAGCCAGATAAATGAGGAAAGGCCCAACGTTAAAAATGCCTAGAGCAGTGTCCCATAACTGCCCCTGCCAGCCACACCAGGGGGAGGGTCACTAAGACCAGCTGCTAACACCAGAGAGGAAGCTCTGCTCAGCCCTCCATCAGCTCCTCTTTCCTTGGAAGAAAAACATTGTCTCACTTCACTTGTAATAACGTCCCCTGTGATTTAAAAAAATATCAAGCCCTGGCTGGTTTGGCTCAGTTGGTTGGGCATCATCCTGTTCACTAAAATGTGGCTAGTTCAGTTCTGAGCCAGGGCACATTGCTGGACTGCAGGCTTCATCCTAGGGGGGTTTGAGCAGGAGGCAGCCTATCATCGATGTTCTGCTCTCACATTAATGTTTCTTTCTCCCTCTCTCTCCCTTTCTCTCTAAAAGTCAATAAAATACCAAAAGTCAGCTCACCTTTCATTCAATCATTCAGTAAAGAAGTGACCTAGACAGTAAAAGCACTCACATGCAGTTTCTGTCCTTAAACATCACTGCACTGATGCACTGTGAGCTTCAAATGCACCAAGAGAATTGAATGTTTCTCCACCTCCATCCACTTGAAGAATACAAACATTGCCCTGACCGGTTTGGCTCAGTGGATAGAGCATCAGCCTTTGGACTGAAAGACCCCAGGTTGAATTCCGGTCAAGGGCACATATCTCTGTTGAGGGTCTTGTTCAGATTTTTCAACTCCAAATATCTAAAACCTTAAAAAACAACCAACCAACCAAACAAACAAACAAACAAACAAACACAAAAAACAACCTCAAAGACTCAGGTATCTGCTGTTACCCAGGAAACTTCAAGCACTCTGAGTTACCCCTTCAATCTAGTCACCTCTATCATGCGAGCTCCTCATCCCTGAAACTTTATTTTGATCATTTTAAGTAATTTTCTCTTATCTTTGTGTTCTTTAACACACTAAACATACAGCTTTGGTAGGCAAGTTATAAATCCTAACTTAAGTACATAATAAACGTGGCACTAGAAAGAATGCAAAATATTCAAATAATAGATGTTTGGATCTTACATGGTAACTATTATTTTACCCTGGAATAAACATAAACTCCTAATAGCCTCTAGATTTACCTCAAAAGCTCTCAGTTTGGGGATAATTTCTTCAAGCAAATGCAGATCTTTGGAAACCTTGACCTTCGCTTTGTTCCACTTTCCTTGAACATCATTACATTCTTGATTATACATTTTTCCTACATCTGGAGAAACGTTTTTCTCCAAAGCTTTTGTTTCTTCTGCAAGTTTAAATAATGTAGGTTTTTTATCCTCAAGGATTTTTTCAAGAGCCTGGAAGAAAAATTTTAAAGATTAACAATATGCACAATGATTTGCCTGTACAGATGTAATAATATGATCTATAAACAGTTAAAAGTCACCTTTAAAAAGCATTGAATAACTTTTTTTTAAATTAAAAACAAAACAACACAAAACTGTGGTCCAACCGACGTGGCTCAGTGGTAGAGCACTGACCTCTGAAGCAGGAGGTCACAGTGAGATTCCCAGTCAGGGCACATGCCTGGTTACTGGTTCGATCCCTAGTAGGGGGCATGCAGGAGGCAGGTGGTTGATGATTCTCTCTCATCATTGATGTTTCTAACGCTCTGCCCCTCTCCCTTTCTCTATAAAATCAATAAAAATATATTTTTCAAAAACTGTAAAAAAAATCATATAAAAAAGCACAAATCAGAAAAGTTAAAGCTTTCCCTTCATGAGTTGTATGTGGGTGAGTGTACATGTAGTGTAGTGCAGTGCATTCTCTACACTAAAAACCTCTGTAATAACTCACCCAGTGAGGGCCCAGGGTATAGGGCTCACTCTGTGGCTACTTTATCTGATGAAATGGTTCAGAGCAATGTATCCTAAATGACCAGAGAAGCATTGTTCCTCAGCATAGAAAAAGTACAACACTTCAACTTAATTGATATTGTTCATTTTGTAAAATATATGTATTTTAGTAGATTATAAATAGGTTGAGAATTTTAAGCTAATTACAATAGAAGAAAATATAGTTTGATTCTATTAAAATATTTAATATCATTATGTTTTCTTTTAGCTAAAATGCCACATTATAGTAGCTTCAAATTGTAAGAAATTTTTGACCAATTATGACCAAAAGTGACCAATGTTTTTTAAAGAGTTGAAAAATACCCATAACCAGTTTGGCTCAGTGGATAGAGTATGTAGGCTTGCAGACTGCAGGGTCCCAGGTTTGATTTTGGTCAAGGACATGTACCTTGGTTGTAGGCACATCCCCACTAGGGGGTGTGCAGGAGACAGCTGATCGATGACTCTCTCTCATCGATGTTTCTAACTTTCTATCCCTCTCCTTTCCTCTGTAAAAACTTAATAAGATATTTTTTTAAAAGAAAATATAACTAAATAGTTGGAAAATATTTTTCAAAATATGTGACATATTAGAAGTGACTGTAGATTTCTAAGACCTAAAATATATATTACCTTTTTTTCCTGCAGCGCCTTCTCCACCTCTGCAGGTTCATTCAGGACATCCAATGATGCCTGGGCCTTACTTTCTAAATCACTTAGCATATCTTTCAGAGTTTTCAACGTTTCCAAATACACATGTCCAGGTTGACTCTTCATTTCTGTTCATTTAAAAATACTTCATTTGAGAAAACAATGCTAGAAGCCTACTGTTACAGTATATAACATTAATCTTCTGTATATAATAAGGAAATTATAGTACATAAGAAGTTAAACACTTTTTAAAATTAAAAAGGGTCTCTGTTTGCTACTGGCAGTCTAGACATTGAAGCACCAAAGCATAGGTCGTTATTACTGACCACCTGTCACCTGCGTTTGTCCCACTAAGTCTATGCATATAATCAATGAATTAAGGCATAATTGGGTCAGGGGGAAAGGAGCCTTTTACTATGTTCTTGCAAGAGTGCTGTCTGCTTGTGCAGGCACACACGGAGCAGCGATCACAGGCTATTTATCCCCTTGTCCTGCCTCATTTGAACACCTCTGGTTGAAGACTTCATTCTTTGATTCCTGAGACAAGACGGGGGAAGAATTCCTGCTATGGGCTCTGGTATCAGGGTAGCGTCCACGCCCGGCTCCTCAGTGGCTGAGTACTATGGGCTTCAGTTTCCTCAGGCATGGCCTAGGGCTCCTGTGGGAGCATTTTAAAATGGGCCTAGGCCTTTTCTAGTTGTCTCCACCTCACCCTGGCTAGCTGAGGCTGCGCATCCTGGCTCAGGTGCACAGTGCTCTGTTCTTATAGCCGCTTCCCTCCTCCCGCATTCTGTTTGCCTGCGGATATTCAGTAACCCTTTCCAATAAAGTTGACCATGCTGGGGTGGAGCTCAGAGACCCATTTCCTGCACCAGGAAACTCCCCAAGCATAACCTCCCCTCTGTGACTCCTGTCAGGACCATCATTCTTTTATTTATTTAAAACATTTTTTGTTAATCCTCACTGAGCGTATTTTCCCATTGATGTTTAGAGAGAGTGCAAGGGAGAGGGAGAGACAGAGAGTAACATCAATGTGAGACAGAGACATTGATTGGTTGCCTCCTGCACATACCCCAACCAGGGCTGGGAACCTGCAACAGAGGTGTGTGCCTTTGATCAGAATCAAACCTGGGACCTTTCATTCTCCAGGCCAACACCCTATCCACTGGGCCACACCAGCCAGGGCAAGAGCAATTGCTGTTTGCAGACTAACCACTGGGGTCACTTTAGAAGGAAGAGCTTCTGTGCATCTACCTGGGCCATTTGGTGCCTCGGCTGCTCCTGCCCCTGCTCCCTGCAGAGATCCCTCCACTCCCAGCTCTCTGTGCTCAGGGTGAGAGCACCTCATTAGGAAACAAAATGCAAGCCCAGGCCTATGTCCTTCCCCTGTAGGTTTACAGGCTGAGGATGCTCACCTGCATGCTCTGCTCCCAGGTTTGCCCAGCTGCCCAGCTCTGGGGGCCACATGGTGTGTGTCTGATACACAAGTACCTGGCCTGTGACCCCAAAATATGGGGATGGGACCTCAGCCCTCCTACTGATTTGTCCTTGTTGCCTCGGGGGACACTGATGTGTCACTGGAACTCAGTGTTGGTGGAATGAATGAATGAATGGAATCCAATGAATTAATGTGAGTGGATAAGCTCTGGAATTGGTGTAAGGTCGACAATGCCCACACCCAGAGGCCCCCCTCTGAGCACCCTTTTCTGTGACCCCTGCCTTTGTTCCCACTTGCCCAAGGACACCGTCCTGGAGAAATATGGCTGCAGAACTGCTGTCTGTGCCTCAGTGGGCTGTGCACCTGGGTCCTTATATCAGTGAGCGATGCTCAGGCAAATTCCAGGTGTGGCTTCCTGTGTAAAAACAGCCCCACTGGGGCCGCAGAGCCTGCTGAGTCAGGCTGACCCAGGGACGTGGCTGTCTCCTTCCTCGTCTTCCTTCCTGTGCTGGGGCTCCCCTGGGGTCAGTGTCTGGGAACCTGGTGAATCACAGCTGTGTTTACAGAGACATGGATTGATTAACCTTGTTTCTTCCTTCTGTCCCAGGTGTCCTGTCCCAGGTGCAGCAGCAGGAGTCGGACTCCACGTTGGTGCAGCCCTTGCAGACCTGTCCCTCACCTGTGCCATCTCTGGGGACAGTGTGTCCACCAACAATGCCACTTGGAACTGGATCAGGCAGCTCCCAGGGGAAGGGCTCCAGTGGCTGGGAAGTACCTACTTTAGGTCCCAGTGGTACAGAATATGTGCCATTTCTCCAAAGTCAGTTAGTCATCGACCCTGACACATCCAATAACCAGTTCTCCATGCAGCTGAGGTCTGTGACCAGCGAGGACATGGCTATGTATTACTGTGCAGGACCCACAGTGAGGGGAAGTCAGTGTGAGCCCAGACACAAACCTCCCTGAGGGAGACAGCAGGACTGGGCTGGAGGGAGCGCTTAGGACACCAGGGGGTGCTCAGGGCCATCATATGGCCTGGACCAGGAGCAGGTGGAGAGTTAAGCAGATAGCATTTTCTACTGTGCCTTAAAATAGTTTTGCTCCAAAGCTCAGCCACAGAGCTCACAGAGGCCCTTTCCTGTGTCTAGTTTAGGAATTGTGTTTGTGAACAAAAAGGGGGCTCTGTGGAAAATCTGACACAACTCAGGGACTGAAAGGAACCTCACAGGAGGCTCTGATCACAAATTGCTATATGGGCTGCCCTGGGGGTGGGCCGCCCCAGGCCTATGACTGCTTCATTAAAGGGCTTTTCTTTCCTTACGCAACCCCATCCGTTGTTCTAGGTTAACACACCTTTGACATAAGTATGACCACGCTTCAGAGAGTGAATCTTGGCCTTTGTATGCCTACATTGGAGACGTGTCTATTTAGGCTCTTTGACCATTTTTTAATTGGATTGCCAACTTTTGTTAAGTTGGATGAGTTCCTTAAATGTTTTGGAGATGAACTCCTTATTAGATGTATCCATGCAGTTGCAAATGGTAGGGATTCTCTCTTTTTTACTGCTGCATAGTGGAGTTCTTTCTTCGTTTGTTTTGTTTTTGTTTTTTACCCACTCAATCAGCTGATGGCCACTTAGCTGTTTCCAAATATGAGATATTCTAAGTTACACTGTTATGAACATAGGAGTGCATATATTCTCCCTCTCTCTCTCTCTCTCTCTCTCTCTCTCTCTCTCTCTCTCTCTCTCTCTCTCTCTTGCAGGAAGAAAAAGTCCCTTTAATAGAATGTTATCAACATATTTCTTACACAAACTACTGTTACGTCCGATGCAATAAACAAAAGAGCTCTTCCATGCCAGCATGGTCTCTGTCCCACTCACCTGGACAGCATGGCGGAAGAGAGTGCGAACTTTGCCCAGCCCAGGGGTTTTACACTGGTGGTGACATCACTACTTTGGCTGACCCTGATTGGTTGGGTGAGGGCTAGGGTTCAGTTACACAAAATGAAGGATAACTCCCCCCTGTCCCACAGTGGAGTTTGGAGTTTATCCTCACCCTGCCCTGCCCTCTCATTCCTTTCTTGTCTTATGTGCATGAGTCAAATCATTGACTCAGCCTACTTCCTTTCAGCATAAACAACAAATACAATTACCAAGACCCTTAGTACCTCAGTTCCCATCAGTATTGTCCTCACTGAAGTCCATTTCCCCTCCTTCAGGCATCAAGTCTCCTCCTGGCCTACGTAGAGCTCAGGCTGGTGATCTCACAGGTGGGGCCGCTAGTTGCCAGGATCCATGCCATGCAAGAGCTGGGAGTCATGTAGTCAGGTCTGGGTGCCGTTTCAAAAGCCGTGGGCATGCTCAGGATAATAGTGTAGCATCCCTTTGAGTCCTTGGGCAGTGAATTTCTTTACCCACACTGAGTTCCCAGGCTTACAGGGTCTGCGGTGGGCACTGGTAGTGCATCTGGAACAAGCAAACTGCAGAGCCTGTAAGGGAATGGTTACCATACATGATCCCCCCAAAAAAGAAGAACTTGTCCCAGTAAGGGGTACACCTGACCCTTAAGAGGGCTAAGGACAGGGGATTGGTCCAATTTTCACCGTTCTAGGACACATTTAGTTAAACCCTTTTTTTCAGAGTTTTGCTTATGCCTGTCTTAAGGCTAGAGCTATACTTTAAGATACCTTGGCTACAAAGGTGGGGCTGTTATCTGATACTGGCAGCCTGAATCTAGGTTTAATCTCCTGGAGTAATCTCTTGACTACTATCTATAGAGGCAGGTTCTGTCCTAGTGGGGTATACTTCAACTTAATCTGAAGTGTCTACAAAAATTAGACCTTAATGCTGGTGGTTTAATCTCTGAAATCCACCTACCAATGCTCTCCTGGGGAAGTTCCCTTGACCCAAATTCCCAGGGGGACCCCCTTACCTTGCTTAGCATTTTTCTGTGCACAGACAATACGTCTAGCAACTCTTCCTCACAGAAGCTCAGAAGTCTTGGTGACACTTAAGTGGGTAACCTGGTGTCACTGGGCAACTCTGACCTAGAGCCTCTGGGACCAACAGTCTTGTCATCTGGAGGGTCCACCAATCATCTGGTCCTTCGGTGGCTTGCTTCTGTTCAGCCAATTCCTTCCGGCTGCAGATGGTAACCCTCTTTTCTCTGTGGATGGCACAGTGTCTCCATCAAAGGGCCTGGATTAAGGCCAAAAGTTTAGGAACTGTGCCCAAATGGTGTGGTCCAGGTTGACTACCACTGCCCCTGCATATTAGGTCCCATCCTGAACGTAACTGCTCCCATCCATGAACAGTACCTTTTCGTCTGTTACCTCTGTGCAGTCATGAATGGGTTCCTCTATCATCATCTGAAAGCAGGCTGGAGGATTGATGGCCAGAGTCTTATGAAACCAGACACAGGGCTGGTCCAGGAGAAAAGCTTGGCCCATCCAGGTTAGCTCCTGGCCCAGAGTCTGCTTATTTGCCTCCTTCACCAGCAATGCTGTGGTGGCCACTGCCCGGAGGCAAGCTGGTCACCCTGCTGCCACGGGGTCTAGTCTCTTAGACAGATAGGCAACAGGTCTCTTCCAGGGACCTAAAGTCTGAGTGAAAATTCCTTTGGCAATGCCCCTTACCTCACTCACGTAGAGGTGGAAGCCGGGCTTCATGACATCTGGCAGGGCTAGGGCAGCTGCTGAGATGAGAGCCTCCTTTAGCTCCTCAAAAGCCCATTGTTCCAGTTCAGCAGCTGTGTTCCCTCAGTACATGTTCCTTTGGAGGTCCACAGTCCTTCTTTGATGTACAAGGAGGCTCCCTGCTTTCTATAATAAACATACTAATTCC